CTTTCCAAACTAAATTCTTGAGGTATGGGAGCATGCTAAGAAGGAAGGAATCTAGAGAAAAGCACATTTATAAACTGCTCCTCATAGCCTTAAAATAACAACAAATGAATTACTATTTTCTCTGATCAAAGGTTGCCTCCATAGGAAATTTTAGTTAGGGCAAGCTTTGTGGCAGTTGCAGCTTCCTGTGTCTAAAGTGTTCAGTACAAACTTCCGGAAGTTGCACTCCACATAGGCTGCACAGTATGTCAACTTGCTGCCTTGCTTTCCCAAGCAATTGCATTTGGGGGAGCCTGTCTCTTTCAGACCTCCTCTGTAGAGGAGATCACACAGATACAGACTTGAATTGCTGGTTTCCTGTGTGTGAGAAATGCCCCTGGCCCACTGGCTGCAAACCCAGACACATGTGACAGTTTATACCTGCTGTCATTTGAGAGGAGAAATTGAGATGTTGGATCCCATTAGCCAATCCGCAGAACTTTACAGTTGTCTGGGTATTGAGGCATAACAAGGTAAACAAATGAGAGTTTTCAACCCCTTTTATGTAATCTGACACCACATCTATATTATGCTGGGATTAATGACATTTTGAACACGTGTAATCTCAGAGGCTCTTTTATGGTCAAACCTTGACCATGAGTGTCCCTGAGGTAGAGCTGTGACATTGTAAGGCCTTTAGCCCTGAAGCCTGCCTTTAGCATACTGGTTAGCATACAGTGCCAGGTACTGTGTTAAATGCTTTCCATGGATTATTACATTGACTCTACAATCACAAGGGAGATTATCCATGTCTTTATTCCCTTCTCCTTCCCTCCCCTGGTGTAATATGGCACACACACCCCAACTCTGGTGTGGGTGCCAAGTACCAGGGTGGGTGCAGATAGAATGGCTGCCTAGGCCTCTGCTACAGGGAGGAATGGTTTGTCACCCTGCTGCTCTGCCTGTGCTCATGTGGGGCCAGGACTTATTGTGAGTTACACAAAGCCCCAGGTGGAATTTCCGGCTTTCTCTCTGGAATTTCTCTCTGAACCGTGATAGGAGCTGGTGTGGCTTTATCAGGGTCCCTCTGGCCCGCTTACATTCCCACAGAGTGGGAAAGGAGAGAGTAGAGAATACAAGGGAAGACCGCCACTCAGGGAACAGAAGGGGGAACCAAGAGAGACATGGTTGGTGAAAGGTCTTGGCTGCATGCTGGCCCAGGGCTCCCTGATGCTGCTTTCACGGCTTGCCTCTTCCTACACTGGCACAGCCTGGCAGGGGGATGGCGCTCACTCACTCCTGGGGGTCTGCCTGCGAACTGCTGACTCACATGCATGCATTACACATGCACAAAGTATAGCCAGAAATGTTACTACCCCGCAGGCAGGCGGTGCAGCAAGCGACCCTTCTCAGCTTGGGGTGAGATCTGCCAACAGGTCAGGAAAGAAGAGAAAACCACTTCTTGCCAAGCTGAGCCTAGTTGCATTGTTTATAAAATTGCAGTTCCCATGAACAAACTGAACGGGAGCATAGGATTTGCCTCAGGTGCCCTGAGATGTCAGCCTGGAGCCCGTCCACAAGGGTCCCAGTCTTAGCACCTCCCCTCTCCCCGGGAGTCCCCAGACTTGCTCTGGGACCTTGTATCACCATGGTCCCCAGGAGTTAACTGCATGGGCTTTGTTCTGTATAACCTTCTCCAGTGATTTTTTAAATACTCTTTTTGGCTCAAAGAGGGTAATCCAAGCACATGGTGTAGGAATTCACCTGAGCTATGTCTTCTGCTCTTGAGCTGAGAGTGACACTGAGCTGGGAGGGGCTGGAGAGCCGGCCTGGCACCTGGGGATGCCGGGCTCCTAGGCACTTCTCAGCCACTGTTCGGCCTCTAGCTTCTAACCTGTAATGGAAATTCTCTCTTCACATACACTTAATCTTGACAAAACTATGTGGAATAGTTTGTTGACGAGGTAGTGAGTTTAAACCCACAATGAGATCTTTCTCCAGTCTGCCTGCGGTGTGGCAAAGGTGCCTGGCCAGCATGCGCCGGGTGGAGCCTGAAGGATGGCACAGCCAGGTGGCTGGGACAGGAGAGAGCAGAGGGTCACTGAAGGTGAAGAAAAGATCAAAGGAGGCCTTTTAAGAAAAAAAAAAGTTAAGAAGACAAGAGACTCTAAGGACTCTCTGGAACAAGGGATTGAAAGTAAGGGACGAGAAATGTGCAGATTTTCTATGAAATACGCAACCACCTTCTGGTGCCAGGCAGTTACTGGTTCTCTGGACAAGAAATGAAACAAAACTGCGTCATTAATGAGCTAATGTGAAAATGGTACCTGGTATGTAGTCCAACCCCTCATCACCTCCTGGACTGTGGTCACAGCCTCCCTGCCTCCCATCCCTTCCCAACCAGACCTGCTCTCTACCTGGCCCCAGACTGTGCCCTTGGTTCAGACCCCTGTGGCTCCCCTTTATGGAGAGGAAAAGGCCAGAAACACTCGTCTCGGCTGGTCCCTGCCCAGAAGGCTCCTTCTCCAGGTCCCAACCCCAGAGGGCACCCTCACCTCCTACCCACCAGCCACAGACCCAGTGTCCACACAGCACTCCGTAAATTGTAGCATTGTCCAATTTCCACCACAGTTGCTTGTTGGTGGTCTCCCCCACTAGACTTTGGACTTTTTGAAGGAATAATTTTTTGTCTATTTTTCCACCTTATCATTTAACACAGCCCTTGGCATAGCAAACAGTGGGGAGGGGGATGAGCAGGCGCCAGGGAGCAGAAATGTCCAGCTCTGACTGGGAAGAGAAAGCAGGGCTGGACTGTACGTTTGGAAGTAATCTGGGCAAATGTGAGCATTGAAATCCAGAGTGGAACCAAGAGAGCATTTGGGGAAGAAGAGAAGAAAGTTGTTTGGGCCCCAGGAGGGATTTCCAGGTCTAGGAACAGGAGTCAGCAAGGACTGGGCAGGGAACGCCTGAGGACAGGCCTCGAGAGAGAAGTTGTGTGGCTGTGTCAGAGCTGTGGGGGGGCAGAGCAGCGTGAGCCTGGGGAAGGCCTGATGGTCCATGGTTCAGAGGCAGCACAGATGGATGGTGCAGTGTTCCCATGCTGGCTGGGCAGGAATGAGCTGAGCAGACGTGGGCAGAGGCCATGTGAGTCGGGGGCAGAGGAGAATGCGGAGACATTTCTCTCTGAGCTGTGGAAGATGCGAGCCAGCCAGGAAGGAGTGAGCAGCCAGGGAGGACCTGAGAGGCTAGAAGGGATAAAGGGATAGCAGGGAGAGGGGGCCGGCAGGGTGAGGACTAAGGGTGCAGTAGGGGAAGAGTGAGAGCTGTTCCCAGCTGCGCAGGCCAAGGAGGGGTCAGCGTGTGAAGCCAGAGGCCCTCCTCACCTCTGACAGGGGAGTGAGGCTGGCAGGGCCATGATGGGGTCTGAGAGACCAGGTTGTATGGGCACCAGAGGCAGAACCAGATAGAGTGATGTCCTATACACACCAGAGCAAGTGGTGGCAACTTTCGGTTTTGATCACGCATTATGAACTATAAACAATCAGGTCAGGCCACACAGAAGGGTGGCACCAACTCACCCCGGCCCCCCGCCTGGGCTGCCGAGGCGGGGACACTACCCTCCCCTGGCAGGGAAAGAAGGAAGGGGCCAGTGTTGGGGCAGAAAAGTCTGTCTGGCGTAGCGTCACGGGAACCTTTGAACTCAGCGCACTTCTGCTAGACCTGTGAGAAACCACTTATTTCCATAGGTTTCCTTGAAAAAACAAGCTTGCTGCTCTTTTCTGTTGATGAAGGCAATAAAACTTCTTCATGGAAAATACAGAAATAAAGAAGAGTTGAAAACTAAGGAAGGGAGGTGGCCCCCAGTTTTACCTGCCCCCAAAATAAACCCTGTGAATGTGGCAGGGAGCTCANTATTTATTTTTTGAGAGGGCATCTCTCATATTTATTGATCAAATGGTTGTTAACAACAATAAAATTCTGTATAGGGGACTCAATGCACAATCATTAATCAACCCCAAGCCTAGTTCTCAACAGTCTCCAATCTTCTGTAGCATAACGAACAAGTTCTTACATGGTGAACAGTACAAGGGCAGTCAGCACAGAAACTTTCGGTTTTGATCACTCATTATGAACTATAAACAATCAGGTCAAATATGAATATTCGTTTGATTTTTATACTTGATTTATATGTGAATCCCACATTTCTCCCTTATTATTATTGTTATTATTATTATTATTTTTAATAAAATGCTGAAGTGGTAGGTAGATGCAAGATAAAGGTAGAAAACATAGTTTAATGCTGTAAGAGGACAAATGTAGATGATCAGGTGTGTACCTATATACTAAGCATTAATCCAAGCTAGACAAGGGCAAAACATCCACAGATACAGATTTCTCTCAAAACAGGGGGGTGGGGTTCTAAGCCTCACTTCTGTTGATCCCCAATTTCTCACCTGATGGCCCCCCTGCGACTGTGCCTGTCTTAGGTTGTTCCTCCCTTGAGGAATCTTACCCGTCTCTGGCTAACCCAACTGGGGCTAGTTTTGGTTTCACTCTCCACAATGGGAAAGTTATGCTCACCATTTTTAAAAGGAAAAAGAATAATGGTGTGTCTGCACCTTACAAGCAAATCAGAAATCGGATAGTATGTGGTCCAACACAGCAGGCTTACATTAAAGAAATGTTATCTATTCATGGACTTGCTTTTATCTCATTCCAGAAAGTATCCTACAGGAGGAAGTAGGCTTTAAAATGTGCATATAGGAGCAGGTGCATCTAATTTTTGTGGCTCAGACTAGAGGACTACAATCCCTCTGAAGCATCTTTAAATGGGAAAGCAAAAGCCCCCTAAAGAAAGTCATAGTGTCACTAGAGAGGCTCCCAGACTCACTTTCCTCCGCACTCCCCCACCCCGTGCCGTGGGCCCCTGTAGAGTGTTCTCTGTGTGGGAGAAGCCAAAGCAGAAGAGTGAAGCTGGAACAAGACCTCTTGCATAAATAACCTCGTGTCTTTACCCGCAGAGAAGGGTCTGCCCCCAGCTGCAACAGGGCCAGGAGCCGACGGCCAGCCAGAGCTGCCCTGGATCACCATCGCACGGCAGAAGCGGCAAGGGGCCCCAGACCAACCACCCAACCAGGAGGATAATCCTGGGGCCCAGACACTGAAGTCTGAAACAGGAAAGCAAGTCAAGGCTCCCGAGAGAGTGCAGGTGCTTAGAGCACACACTGTCTGTCTATGTAGGTGCAGGAGGGAGCAGCTGGCTGGGGGTGGGGGTTGGGACCCCAAGATGACCATGCATCCTGCATGATCATTACAGGGCCCCTCATCTGTGATGACCGCTTATGCCTGCCCTTTGTTGGTGCTGGGCTGATAGGGAGGCAGAGAATTGGTGTGGAGACAGCTCTCTGTTCTCTGCCTCCTAGGCATGCAGTTCAGCATCTGGAGACATGAAATGGGGTTAAAATACCTTCCCAGTTAGATGCATGGTGACCATGTCAACAGCTCCATCTCAGCTCAGTGTGAGATGATGGACAGGCCCTGCTTTTGTTGCTACATTGGTTGCCTGCTGAGGCTCCATATCCCTCACCTAGAGCTGTAGGGCTGGAACCCAGGGTTCCATTCTGCACCTTGGGCTGAAACAGCTTTCTCAACCCAAACAGCTATGCTTAGACGCTGGCCAAGGCTCACAGCATGTGTATGCCCCATAGCAGCCACCATGATGAACCTGTGAGTGTGCTCCAGCCGCGTGGAGAAATGAGCCTGAGCCTCTGCAGGAGGACCTGCTTCCCTTCATTTCAGCCAGAACCTCAGCAGGTCCCACCCCTGAAAACCCTGATGCAGGCTTAGGGCATTTATAAAGCAAGTATCAATTCTGGGCTGAGGCATCCATGGTCATCACAACCCTCACAAAAATCTCAAAACTATTTCCAAACACAATTCATCTGGACTTTTAAGTGGAGTGAATCCCTGCTGTCCAACATGCGGAGCTGAGGCCAGGTGTAGGGACAGGGTGTGGGCCCAGGAGAAGACACTGCACTAGCCCGAGTCCAACAAGGACACGGGACGACTCGGTGAGTGCCCAAAGCAGAGGTCTGCCAAGGAAGTGCCCTCTTGGCAGAGGAACCGTGTGGCCCATCGCCTTTGGTTACATTTGCCCCCTACCTGAATGTCAGGTGACCCAAGAGCATGTGTCTTTCTTGTGTCCCAACAGGAGACCGTGAGGCAAGCTGACTTTGTCCGCAGCAAGTCATTCCTGATAGCCCCTGCTAAGCCCTCGGTGGACCGGAGGCAAGGGACGAAGCTCCGCCTCCAGGAAGGGCTGCAAAGAGGGATCTCGTTGTCCCATCAGAACCTGGGTATGAAATCCCCAAACAGCACCAAACACCTTAAAAGTTGTTTCTGGGATTGGCCCTGCTTTTTGTTGTTCTGTGTTTTTTTCTGAATTACTTGCCACATTGATCTTTTTAAACAGCTTTTATTGAGGTACCATTTATGTGCCATAAAACTCACCTATTGTACAAGTATGATTCATTAAGTATATATTGACAGTGAGTATATATTTACTGAGTTGTACAACCACAACCCAATTTCAGAACATTTCCCTCACCTTTAAAAGAAACCTCATGCCCATTTCCAGTCATTCACCATTCCCAGCCTCAGCTGCAGTGAACCACTAATCTACTTGCTCTCTTTATATAGTTGCCTTTTTTGGACATTTCTTACAAATGGAATCATAAAATATGTGCTCTTTTGTATCTGGCTTCTTTCACTGGGCATAATGTTTTTGAGATCCATCTCTGTTCTTGCATGTGTTCACATCTTTTAATTTATTTTTAATTGTGGTAACATACACATAGCAAAACTTAACCATCTTAGCCATTTTTAAGTTTACAGTTCAGCAGTGGTAAGGATATTCACACTGTTGTGCAGCTAGTCTCCAGAGTTCCTGAAGTCTTATTCTAAAAGTTTCTCTTACCTCACTGCATTGCAGGAACTGTCTGAGCCTGCTTTGTAGGTGTTTTTATCACATTAAATTATTCTGTGCCTACATCTTCTTTACATTAGCAGATTTTATGTTTGAGACCACAGTGAAGATCTTGATGTGTATTTTAAAGAAATGCAAGAGGCTTAAGTGAAAATCCACACTCATTGCTCATGTTTCTGTTTATTTTGTCTTCTTTCCAGCAGCTCAGTCTGCAGTAATGACAGAGAAAGAATTGCATCAGCTCAAGAGAGCCAGTTATGCCAGTGCTGATCAGCCATCCTGGATGGAACTTGCCAGAAAGAAATCTCAAGCTTGGAGTGACATGCCCCAAATTATAAAATAGGTTGACCATGTGCTGACAAAGAATGTCTACTACCTTGAAGGGGCACTTAGTTAAAACCTGTCACTAAATCCAGGCAAACAAACTATGAAACTTAGGAGTGATTTTATCCTCAAGTTATGGGAGAGTGAGCTTGGGGAAGAGGAAGGAACCTGCAAGACAGACACACAGCCATAATCCTGCACCAGAGGTGCCCGAAAACATGGGTGCCATTGAAAGGGGCTGGGAGCAAGGCCCTGTGCCCACAGGTGTGGATGTGAGTCTCTCAGAATTCCCTTGATAAAGAGGGCTCGGACAAGGAAAATGGAAGTGAAAAATGGATGCCTAACCAAGACGCACCTGCAAAGCCGGAGGAGAAGGCACCCCAGGAGAACGCGGGTCTGTGTTTCCACTTGGCATCGCCTTTGTCTCTGGTCGTTGTCTTGCCCGTGGACCCCGTCTTCTTTCATGTTTACTATTAGGCATGACATTTATGGTAAAACAGAGATGCCGTTTCCAAGAGCAGTTGTAAACCAATCAGTTTTCCAGAATATAGCCACTCTAAGAAGGGGCCAAAGGAACATAGCAGAGTTCATCAATTCATAGACTGTTTCCAAAAATAATTTTTAAGCTTTTCCACTGGGCATCTGTGTTCTTAGCCATTGCACAATGCATTGCCTGTTCAATAAAGGGTTTCCAACATGCTCCTGTCATATGTGTCAGTGTTATTTCTACTCACACTTAGAGAATGTCCTCCAGTGCTGAGTTAAATGCTATGTGTGGAGTTTTTGCTTAACAGATATATCATTTAGTTGGGTTGATTGTGGTTGTTTGGGTTTTTAGATTTTTTTGGCAATAAAATTTTAGTGTTTATTTTTGGAAATCAAAAGATAACATAGGCTTTTTTTTTCTCTTTTCATCTATGTGGTGCAACATCTTAAAAATACAAAATTTCCTAAAAAGTTGCAATTATTTACCAACTTACACATTTCTCTTGAAAACTAGATCATCAACACATTAGCCAGGATGACTTGTGAATGTAGAATGTGGAGAAGCCAGCAGAGGAAGAGCATGTATTTGAGATCTCAGAATTTTGTCTCTGTTATACAGTACCTCTATTTTTAAAAACATTTCCAATTTGTTCCTTTGAACAAGCTAATTTTAATGGGACTATATATAGCTGGAGACATTTAGCCATCAGAATCAGTAAGACCTCATATATATTGTAATTTGATTTTATGTACCCTAACTTCTGCTGCTTTATGGTATTTTTTAACTTCATGATAATTATTTTCTAACTCTTAGAACTACACAACCTGATCAGGTCTGCTTTTATTGGAAAAAGACCTGGGATAGTTTTTTTCCCCTAGCCAAACTGATTTATTAATTGCATTATCTTAAGGAACATCAGTACTGAATTCTACGGTGAATGTGTTCTAAACAAGAGCCCCATCCATCTAGCATTGTTCCAAAAGCTTAGGTATGAATAGTTTTAAGTAGAAAAAAATATGTTCATCATTTCTCTTACTAACAGAACATTCAGATAAATAATTTTGACTGAGTAGACTTCACTGTATGAGCAAAATATTTGGTTCAGTTTTGTTCAAACAGAGGTTGATATTGTCTATGTGTTTCAGGCCATGGTTTAATTATCTCTGGTACCACTTGTTAAATTAGGAGGGTGCAGACTTTTAGGACACTGGGAGAATTCCCTGGAGCATGGTCCTGTAACTCCCACCCCTGGCATTGAGGTCGGGACCTTCTGAAATAACAAGAGAAGCTGAGGCTGTGACCAAAGTTTGGAGATGGTGTGGGAAGTCTAGAATGGCAGTAGAGATGGTAAAAGTCTGTAAGTCTTGGTTTTCCTGAGAAGAAAGTAATTATGGAGTGCTTCCTATGTGCCAGTCACTGTTCTGAGTGTTTCATATGTATTACTTGTAATTGTCTTCACAGTCCTTTAGGGGTAAGGACTTAGCTGCACTTTGCAGATGAGGAACCCGAGGCACACTGAGGTCAAGGACTTGGGCATTGTGTTCAAGATCTTGCAGCAGGTAGACACCTGCTAAATGACTCCAGGCCCCAGACTTTAAAACACTACCCTTGAGCAATGTCCCTATTTTTAAAAAGCATTTGTGTGAAGATGAATCTGTGTCCTCAAAGACATAAAGCAGACGAGGAAGCACTGAACTTGATCTTACGGGCTCCTCATCCTACTCTGTCTAAACCCACAGTCCCTGTGTCACTATGTGACTAAGACTAAATGCTTCCCAAAATTCACATGTTAAATCATAATGCCTAATGCAATGCAATAGCATTAGGAGGTGGGACCTTTTGGGAGGTGATTAGCAGAGCCCTTATGAAAGGAATTTCACTAGCCTTTATGGAAGCAACCCCAGAGATCTCCCTTGCCTCTTCCACTATGTGAGGACACAGCAAGAAGCCCTCTATGAGTCAGGAAGAGGGCGCTCACTAGATCTGCCAGCACCCTGATCTTGGACTTGGCAGCCTCCTGAGCCATGAGAAGTAAATTTCTGCCTTTAGAAGCCACCCAGTCTATGGTGTTCTGTGACAACTGCCCTTACAGACTAAGACATAAGTCCTGGAGACAAGCATGGACCTCATGATGCTTCCTCAGGTGACCCCCTTCACCCTCATCCTTTCGTTCCTAAGGACTGGAGAAAGTGAGAGTGCTCTTCTGTTTTGTAATTTTTAGTCAAAGTACCTACACAAACTATGAGGTATTTCCATTCATTCCTTCACTTATTCAGTCTCTACTTTGTGCAAACACTCCACCAGGGGTAAGGGCATCTGCTAGAGCAAGTGGGTAACAGGCATTTTAATTGGGAGGGGACACACTAAATAAGCATGAACCATGACAAACATGGGGGAAGACAGCCGTGACTGCGATGGTGAACCTAAAACAGAGGGACTTGGTTGTGGCAGAAAGGCTACTTGAGATTGGGTGGCTAGGAAAAGGTTTGCTGAAGAGGTGATCTAATTATAAAAATGCACCAGCTGTGCTGAGATCTGGGGACAGCACTACAGGGGGAGGTAACAGCTCTGCAAAGTCCCAGGCCCTTGGACATGCATGCCCAAGATGCAGTGTGGCCGGGATGTGTGGACAAGGGCAGAAGAGCTCTTCAGGGGCTGTTGCTGTCTTTCCCCAGAACCTGGCAGTCTGCAGAAGGAATCCATGCACACCTGGCATTCCTGATCAACCTATTGAATATTTGGGGATGGAGTTACACAGAGGGGTCCCATCCCAGAGGACATAGCCCTCTCTAGCTCCATAGTTCCATAGCCCAACCCCACCAGCAGGACAAATCTATCTTGATTGTCTCATGTACATCAGATCTGCGTTGGTCTCCCACAAAAGTACACCACTCCAAGCGGCCTAAAGGAATTTTCTTCCAAAGAAATGGAATCATCTTGCTGGGGGGAATTTGGATGAATATAAATTTCTCCACTTTATTCAAGCCTGTCCATCGATTAAGGCCTAAAACCATGAGCAGCAGGATCTGTGGGGCTGGGGAAGTTCTTGTGATTCCACCCATCCTGAGTTGTCCTGCTTTTGTAGGACTAAGCATAAAGCTGTGAAGATGCTCTGCCTGCCTACTTCCTACAGGTTTGCATAAATCTCTCCCTAAGACTACCATTTACTAGCTCTAGCTCGAGTAAGCCTGCCACTTTGAAGACAACCGAGGGCTTCCTAATGCACACTGGGGAGTGGGCACTCATCTATTTCACACGGCAAAATCATCAAGAAGAAGAAAGAACACAGCAAATGTAGGTGCCTCTGAAATGTTAAGAGAAATGCAATCAGTGAGGTGGGCTCTAGATTTGTAACAGTTTTAAGTGCAAGACTGAGGAAGATAACAATGGGAAGGCAGAAATCTTCATACTGGATCCTAAGAGAAAGCACCAGGGAAATACATCTGTGGCAGCTGCAGTGGTTTTAAAATATGCCCACAAATTCTTTGACAATTATGTTTTCCAAAAGCAGAGCCTAATTCCCCTCCCCTTGAATGTGAGACAGACTCAGTGCTCACTTGTACCTCTCGAATACAGCAGAAGCGACCACACAGGACTTCTGAAGCAAGGCAATAAAAGACGTTGCTGGCGTTGCATTGCACCCTTCTGGCCTGTTCCCTCTGAGAAAAGTCAGCCTCGTGTCTTGAGGACACTCAGGCAGCCTGTTGAGAGGCCCATGTGGGAAGAACTGAGACCGCCTATTATGGGCTGAATTGTGCCCCCAATGTTCAATATGTTGAAGTCTTAACCCCAGAATCTCAGAATGTGACTGTATTTGGAGATGGAACCTTTAAAGAAGTAATTAAGTTAAGTGAGGTAATTAGGATGGGCCTTATTCCAATACAACTGGTGTTCTTACAAGAGAAAATTTGGACACAGACACAGAAAGGGAAGCCACGTGGTGACACAGGGAGAAGATGGCATCTACAAGCCAAGGGAAGAGGCCTCAGAAGAAATCATCCCTGCAGACACCTTGATCTCAGACTTCTAGCCTCCAGAACTGTGAGAAAGTATGTTTCTGTTGTGTAAGCCCCGAGTGTGTGGTGTACCGCTACAGCAGCCCAAACAAACAACTGCACCGCCTGCCAATCCCCAGCACCAACCTGCCAGCCATGTGAATGGGCCACCTTAGAAATGGCTCCCCCAGCCCCAGTCAGGCCTTCAGATAACTGCGGCCCAGCTGACATATTGACTGCAACCTCATGAGAGACCCCAGGTCAGCCTGCCCAACTGGGCTGCCCCCAAATCCCAACTCACTGAGATGGAAGGTAATAAATGTTTGTTATTGTTTTAAGCTACAGTTTGAGAGTAATTTGTTACATAGCAACAGATACCTAATAGAGCAGCTTCATATTCTTTTTCTGGGCCCTAAAGGGAAAAGCCCCTACTTGTTTTACAGTTGATTTTACTCGGGGTTAAGAATATAACCATAAGCACAGTATGAGAGAATTTTATTTAACACCTCCTGAACTGCAGTCTGCCTTAGGCTGTGTGGCAGAGAAAGCTGGGGGTTACACCGAAGACCTGTGATCCCCCTGCATAGTGTGAAGTAGTTTCTGGAAGCAGATGTCTAGCCAAAACTACATCTCCAGCTGAACCCCAGACACACACACACCCAACACAGACACCTACCTATGCGTGGGACTCTGTCATTGAGGTCTGGCTAATGGGTTGTGAGCAGGGGTGACGTGCATCCCCCCTACAAAGCCCTGACGTTCTAGAGAGGGACCAGGGCGTGACAAGGAAGTGTCCTTTGGAAGAGACATCCGAGAAGAGAGATGCCGAGTTCAGAGAAACCAAGGGGAGGCAGATGAGGGGGTCGCCTGAGGTTTGAAGAAAGAAGAGAGAATGGACTTACTCTGTGTGGCTCCAAGGGGAACGAACTGGGACGGGAAATGAAAGTTGGAGGGAAGGACCAAGGGAGAGATGTAGTAACCGTTACAGCTGTCCAGCGTAGGGCAGGAAGCCTGGTTGGGAGCCCCCTGACACCCAGAAGGAGCAAGCTGAGGGAAGATTACCATCCCTGTAGGATGCTGAACGGATCTTCCCCCTTGAAAGGCGTTTGGTCCGGGCGGCCTCCCCAGGCGGAGCGCCTGTGTATTTACAACAGGCGGGAGACTGAGGCGGGGGTGGGGGAGCTTTCACATTAGTTTTGTAATGTAATTACATTACATTGCTCTTAATACTAATTATTACCAAGAAGTAATCATCCAGAAAATAATCCAAGTGGGCTTTTATGTAGAATGTAGTTATCCAGAGTGCTTTGAAAGCTT